TTTCCCCATTGACTTTACTTGTTGGAAGCCAGCTGGAATGATAGTAAATAACAGTCACATGACCTTGAGATGCTGCAACCTTCATTAATATATGCTGGTTGCCAAGCACCCAAATTTTAATTATGTGACCATGGGGATGCTCCAATGGTTATAAATGCGAGGACTAGTCATAAGTCACTTTTTTTTAGTGCCGGTGTAACTTCAATTGATCAGTAAACAAATGGTTGAAAGTTGTAACTTTCCCTTTGGAAAAGTACGCTTTAGTCTGTTACAACCAACAACCTTAGAGGCCTGCAAACTTTACTTTTTGAGCACTTTACTGTACTTCCAAACATTCTCCTACTCCTAGTTACTTTTCTGAAGAAACTAAATTGCCTTATTGACATCCTCTACCATAGGATTGGTATGTGGTGGCTTAGTGGCTAAGATGCTGAGCTTGTCGATCAGAAGGTCAGCAGTTCAGCAGTTCGAATCCCTAATGCCGCCTAATGGAGTGAGCTTCCGTTACTTGTCCCAGCTTCTGCCAACCTGGCAGTTCGAAAGCACGTAAAAAATGCAAGTAGAAAAATAGGGACCTCTTTGGTGAGAAGGTAACAGTGCTCCGTGCGCCTTCAGCGTTTAGTCATGCCAGCCACATGACCACGGAGATGTCTTTGGACAGTGCTGGCTCTTCGACTTAGAAATGGAGATGAGCACTGTCCCCTAGATCCAGAAATGACTAACACGCTTGTGTGGGGGAACCTTTACCTTTACCTTACCATAGGATTGCACCATTTCCTAGTCCTGTTCGTTCCTTCCCTTTTCAGCAAGGGAAAATCTGGAAGCAACTATGGAACATATTGGTTCAAGTTTCTAATTCATTTGTTAAGGTTACAGCAACTAAAATTAATCTCCCAACACCACCTTTTGCTAGGACTCAAAAGCCACAGGTCCCTCAACCCTGGGTAAAATTTGCTAAAGAACTGTTATTCTGGTGCCTTTTCTTTGAATTGAAAATGACATATGGCCAGATATATTCTACATGTTCCTTGCTGCAATTAATCTTTGTGTTCCTTTGATTAATTACTGACATATAAAGTACAATATCCCTCCCCATTTATAACCTCAGAGTTTTGTCTGTTCCTTCTCAATGGCACACATAGAAATACCAAAGCTTATCCATTTTCAGATGAGGTTAACTAATTACAGAAAATCTGATATCACTTTTAAACTGCATGGTTCATTCTGTTTTCATTGTTTCCTATACATCTGGTTCATACATATCTTCTCTTTACCCTCTTTATTTATCAGTGATTTTTTTCTGGTTTTCTTTTGTGTTACAATTTTGATTAATCACATTTATCTTCCTTGCTATCCATTAAATCTTTCAACTTTCTTCTGTCATTATACATTGTATTCATCAGAATACAAGCAACCTAGAATCTTTCCAGTTTTGCTTCACTGAAACACGGACTACTCAAAACAATTCTGATGGAAGTGTCCAGATGATTTGAACTACATTTGAACAAAATGTAGTTTTGTTTATACTTTACCTGAGAATAATTCCCACTGAGTTCAATGGAACTCATTTGAAAAAGTGGCTAAAAATACAGGAAGGCTCATATTGATGAGATGAAAAACTTATCTTATTTTTATTTATTAATAAACCTTGCCAAGCATCTTGTTTGTTAAATCACTCAGCTATATATATGAACCCCAGAAACATACAGTCTTGGCCTATTGTTCCACATCAATGGTTTTTAGAGCATCTTCCTCTGATCCAAGAAGTAGTGTAAAATCATAATTACTAGTAAACTTGATAGCACAATCTTCTACAAATTGTTAATTATTTTAGCAACCTTCATCTTTATTTGCATTTGATCATTTAGTCCAATACAGTATATGGAAAATCGACTTTTTGTGTTGTGTGTTTTATGTAAAATAATCATTTTATTTCTATTAAGGAAAAATGGACTTGTTAGTCATGTCTCACTTGATGTATGTGTCTTGCAAAATTGCAGTGGATAGCTTAATATACTGTGCAAACACAATCACTTTGCTGGTATAAATCACAATGGCTACTGCCATAATACATTTAAATAAACAATAGTTTATAACCATGGTAGCTGCATGTACACAACATATTAAGTTCATTTTAATCTATAGTTGTTAGGCCGATAAAACATACCATAAGTATCTGATAAGCAATGATGTCACTTCATCATATCATGACACAAATTAGACCAGTGATGTAATAATGTCATTATCAGTGATCTCACAAATGAGATCATTTGTGTAATGATGTCATGACATATGTGATGTCACTTGCCTTCCTGCGCTCACCCAAGCAATGAGCTAAGTGAGAATAATTACACCACAGTAATAATATGGCAACACAGTAATAATAAAAGGTGGCTCAATGACTAAGATGCTGAGCTTGTCGATCGAAAGGTCGGCAGTTCAGCGGTTGGAACCCCTAGTGCCACGTAATGGAGTGAGTTCTGTTACTTGTCCCAGCTTCTGCCAACCTAGCAGTTCAAAAGCACGTAAAAAATGCAATTAGAAAAATAGGGACCACCTTTGGTGGGACGGTAAGAGTGTTCTATGCGCCTTTGGCATTTAGTCATGCTGGACACATGACCATGGAGACATCTTTGGACAGCGCTGGCTCTTCGGCTTTGAAACGGAGATGAGCACCGCCTCAATGACTAGCACATATGTGCTAGTCGTGCACATAGACGACTAGCACATATGTGCAAGGGGAACCTTTACCTTTAATAATATGGCATAGTGTGACATTGTCCAGCCACTTTATCTTGTCTAGTAAAAGATGGGCTACAATGTTCTGTATCAACTATTGTAAAGTTCCTGGCCTCATGGAAATGTAGCTTTCAGGAATCCTAATATATAGATAAATAGAGACAGAAGCAACTATTGCTACTAAATTTTTGCTGGACAACTGAGTTCTACATACTGCAAATTTGATGCTGGCTAGATACAGAACTCTTGAAGCTTCTGTAGGCATTCATTTATAAACAATTTTTAGGAGTACCTGCATGACTGTAACACCTACAGAAAATAATTCTCCTAGTACGCAACACTTACAAATGCAATAACCTGTTTTCTTTTGCATCTGGTTAAGTTTGTATAATAAAATTGTGGGCCATCACTGAACACAAAGCACAATAGAGCTTATTCCAAAATCAAGACAGTTTGAACAAAACTCAGCTCCTTTCAATTCCAGCTCAAGGTTTTGAAAGAATAATTTAGAGCAGACTTTCAGAACAGCTTCAAGTTATACTTGCAACTCAGTGGATCCATTCTCTTACCAGTTGTTGGAAATCAAGCAAAAGCTATGCTAAGAAATCCTTCTTCATTGGAGCTTTTATTCAGTTACAATAGATAACTTGGACCTATTTCTGTGTAGGAAATAACGTAAGATGAGGAAAGCAATTGTGCAAGCTTTTAAAATTCATAATAACTATTCTAATAGCTTGTTACTGTAGGAGAGAAATATTGAGAACATGACTATTTTACAATAGGGCAACATTTTTTTAGAGATGATTTTATTCTGCCTATATTGTATTATGTCATTGGTTAATCAAAGGACTGGCCTTAAAGATGAGATATTGCATATTGAACACTAAGCCTAACACTGAAGTTGCAGGAAGCACCGCATAAAACAGTGGATCAATATTCAAAGACTGGGTCTATCTGCAGTGAAACAAAGATGAGTTTAAAAAATTATAAGCATCCTTCCCTTTTTTTGCAATGTTATTTAGGTTGATTCCAATGGTGCATAGGTTTTTTATAGACTGCTAATTGTAGAAATGCATTGCCATTAATAATTACGTTTCAATCAGAGGTGGGCTGCTGGGGGTTCATAGGGGTTCAGGAGAACCTCTAGCTAAGATTCTGTGCAGTTCAGAGAACCCCAAATCCCACTCCTGGCTGGGCCCCACCCCACCCCACCCCGTCCTACCCCACCCCTCCCAGGAGTCCCCACACAGCCTGTTTTGGATGCAGGTAAGTAAAGGGCATGTGTGGAGGCTCGGAGAGGATGAAAAATGGGCCTACCGGAAGTTCGGGAAGGCCTCCGGAGCCTGGAGAAGCCATTTTGGCCCTCCTGGAGGCTCGAGGAAAGCCTCCAGGGGAAAAATGCCCCCCCACCATGGCTGACTAGGCCACAGCCACCATGCCATGCCCACCCAGCAACCGGGCAGAGAACCCCTTACTAAAATTTTTGAAGCCCACCCCTGATTTCAACACCTAGTGTTAGATTGCTTGAAATTAAAATAAATGGAAAGCATTGCTAACGCTTACATTTTGGCAAAGTTACAAAGCTAAGAAGGAGTGCATTACTTATTTAAAGGATTGCCTTGGTAAACAAGAAACAGCAAGCCACGTGTCGTGTCCTAAGTGCTCAGCTGAATCATTTTTGGCTGTTAAACAGCAGAGGTGTGGGGGAAGTGATTGGGGTTTTCCACAACTAAGTTAAAAGGGAACAGCAATTATTTGCATGATGCCGGGTTTCCTTAGAACTGCACCAGCTTACCACGAAATAGTGCTACCATCAGATGAAAAGTGATGACGCTCTCAGGAAATAGTAGTGACTGAAATTAGGTCATCCAATTTAAAGTAGTCTAAGCAATTTACATACCACCATGTAAGTACTAGACAGTGCAACCTTACAGCAGACATTCAGCAAGGTACTCCAAAACGTATCCATAATATAAAAGCCAGAAGATCAGTAGTCAGTTTATGTCAGGTATGAACAACCAGACCCACACATGTAATGTAATCCAGCCTAATTTCCTGCTTGAGCCCTCCTCCCAAATGGGACGGTTGCTCTCCAACAGTTTATGAGGAAACTTGTGTCTTTCCACTATGGTGGAACTGCAACCTCTAGCAGCCTCAGCTAGCATGGACGACAGTGAGGAACACTGGAAATTGTAGTTCACTAAGACACATGCTCTCCACCCCAGTCTATAAAATATACAATTTATCGTCACGGAACTAAGTTTAACAGCATTTTAAAGTTAAGAAAATTTATTTAAAGACACCATTATGTTACACAAGATAGATTCCATTAGAAAAGTTATGCTGGCATTACTTTACAAAAGTAGCATTCTTACAGTTTTAGATCTGGAACATAAGCAAATATTTTCAGTCAATTAAACTTACAAAATAAAAGGGTAACATTTTTAACAAACAAAAAGCCAATCTTAAATGTAGGAATAAGTCTTGTGCTTGAGAGACACAGAAAAAAAATATTTTAATATACACACAAAAACAGGTATAGAAACAGAGTTGATAAATTAAGCTAACTGTGTAGCTATGGAACAACTTTGTTTTCTTAAAAAAACACCATGAAATGGGAACATTTCAGGAAGAGATTACAGCATTAGAATATTTTTTTCTCTCTGAAACTTCAAATATATCTTCAGCCTTCATCTATTTTCCATTTTGCAATTGGGGAAGATTCTACAAAGCTATTGTTTTTACCTTGATTATTATTAGAAGGAAAAATTAATGTCTCCTTCCCTTTGAACAACAGGGGATAATCTTATCTATTTTTCATTTCCCCAGTATCAAAATCTTAATTCTGCTTTCAGATTACAGCATCTACGAAACCCGATTTATTTGCATTTCGCCCATTTCCTTAATCTCAACTTTCTCATATTTTCCAGTCCTCCATCTCCTCATAAACACAAACACAGCAATCCCAATTAAAATGGCCACAAGAATCACCACAGCCACTGCCACAATACCAACTTTCAGGAATTGCATTGAGAATTCTGGGGGGATTTCATCCACGTAGTAAACCAGGACTTTTTCAATATCTAACGGCTCTCCTTTGACCGTGATATTAAATTTATTATCGGAGACAAAAGGGGAGTCACTTTTGATGTCTTTTTCAAAGTAATAGGCTACATCTGCAATATCCACATCTCCATAAGACTTCTGCGAAGCATTCTGTTTCAAGTCAATTTTGATGAATGGGTGATCATATTCAATAGATGAGATGAAGTTTGGGCGAAGCATATACCGGTTCTGAATGAGGTGCCGAAGACTGCTGGCTACTTCAGACTGGGAGAAGGAAGTTTCCCTCTCTTTGTGCTTGAGCTCGATGAAAATCCAGTTTGTTCTAACAAGCTCATTGCATTGCATGTTTTTATCACTCTTATCCGTTCTCCTGACCCCAGCACTGTTCACACACCAACAAGTATCTGTATGATTGCATTGCCTGGCTTTGAAGATGCCACTGTTTTCACAGTCTGGATCATACAGTCCATCATTGTCCAAAAAACCCGTTTCAGGCTTTGGAAACCTCTTGCCTCCTGGGGCACTCGCCTCGGCCTTCATAAGCAGACATTTAGATGTCAGCGTTGAACAGTCCACTTTGTGATTTGAACCCCGAGCCTTGCAGACACAGCTGCCTTGCTCCATGGCACAATGTGTCCGTTTGTTGGTTGGACATGAGCAGTAATCATCTTCTGCCGATGCAGCCACGACCATCAAAAACAATACAATTCTGAAAGTAGCCTCCATAGGTTGGAGAAAGAGGAGCAGAAGTTGGCTTTAGAAAAGAGCAGGTGAATACAGCAGCCTAGACAAGATCCATCCACAGCAACAGCCTCCCAGTTTCTGTGTGACTGAATGCAACTCTTGCTTCCTCTCTTTGAAAATGAATGTCAGACCCACCCAATCAATTTAGTTGGTGACTCACAAACAAAACAGGTCATAACAGAGGTCCAAAAGCATACACCTTCTTCCATTAAGGTGTGGTAGCAACTCTCATTTCTTTCCTCCTACTGAATGAGGAAGTACAGGATGCCAAAAACACAGAAACCAATATAACACAACTATAAGCTCTTTTGTGAATTCAGGCACACCTGCCTCATGGGCTGAGGTAATAATATGCCAGGCTACATATTAATGAAAAACCATATTGCATTCTGGCTGGAATTGAAGTCCACACATCTTAAAATTGACAAGGTGGAGAGACGCTAAGGTAGACTCATGTTGACTTCAGGGGTCAGTCAGTACACATAATGGGCAGAACTGAGGGATGCAGAAAAAAATGGCTCTCTTTCGAGTTTTTGAGGATTCAGTCGTTCTTGATGGTCAACTCTTCCGTGATTTAAGATGAACAGCTCTATAGTTCTTCCACTAAACAGTGATGACCCTGCAAATACGTGATAGTTCAGAGGAGTACTTAGAGGAATATTTGGTATCTCTTGAGATGACCCAAATGCTCCAGCCAGTTACATCTTCCTGTAATATGAAGTGGATTTTTGATGTCCCTGACAGAGTAATTTCACACAGCCTATTCTTATTCACTTACAAAGTGTACCTCTGGCAAACACTGACATCTGCGAGGATGTCCACCAGGGAACCATGATTGACCAATGGCAAATTGGGTTTTGCTTTGGCAGGATATGAGAAATGGCCTTTACAGTCAAATGGTATTTGGTGAAAGTTGCCCCCAGTCACACTGACCTTTAATATCTTGCTCTTCTCTGGATCACAGAAGTGCAGCATTCACACAATGAGGAAACCTCCATTTCAGTTCCCTATACAGAAAATATACTCCAAAGTATCTTTTAGTCTATTTTATAGTCTTTGTACTTCTCTGGTGCGTGTTGCTTGTGTTAGTTATTGTTGCTTGTGTTAGTTATTTTCAGTAAGTTTTTAAAAATTGGATCCCAATGCTTTTTCAAAACAGCTTATTTATTATTTGTTAAACAAATTTATATGGCCCCTCCAACTCACATGTAGGTGACTATTGCATTGTCATAAGAACACCTACATATTCTTAAAAGCTGCAGTACTTGGCTTTCGGTGGGAATTTTTATTTTCATTGCAAATGTCCAGAGTTGCACTATAAGAAACCAGTCTTGTAATATTTTCATGTCACATATCAAAAACTTTACTTTGCTCTGTCTCTGAGATATGTGCTACGATTTTGCTCTGGTAACCTTTGAGATATTGCAGACTGAGAATCCTGTAATAAACCAACTTTTGTCTCTGCACTTTTTACACACACAAGTAATGATTAACTAAAGTACTTTAATTACACAGTTTCGGAGGTGTGTATGTGCTCATGTTACTCATTTATAGTAGCAATAAGGAAGAAACCTGTAGTACCTTAAAGAGTAATTAAAGTTGTTATTCTTTAAGTTGCCACAAGACACTTTCTTATTTTAATTATTCAGTTAGTGCCTAGTATTATGTCTGCCAACTGATTTGGGATAACTATCTCTGAAACCAGTATATCGTTTCTTTTCTGTTCCTCAATGCTTCTCCAATGTTACTCATCAAACACTATTGCTTGAGCTCTTTCTCCTGCAGGTGTTACTTCCTCCTACTATTTTATTACTGCCAAAACATTCCTCAGTGTATCATTAGAAGTACTGGCTAGAAAAGTGTGCGGCTCTCCGAAAGCATCAGGGGGAAAAAAAACATGCAAAATTTGAAAGCAGCTTTCCCAAGCACTCAATGCATAGCGATCGAATGCCAATCTGGCTGAAAATTTTAGGCTCTGCAGAGTGCCAGGATGTCAAACAGGTTTTGAGAAAGTAAATAACTTTCTTATTTCAGAACTGAAGCACAGGAGAGGGATAATTGAAGGGGAATGAAAAGCAGAATAGGATAATTTCCACTTTTATGACAACCACCATGACTATTAACTGGGTATCAGTTCATTTATTATAGTATTTCTGTACGTGAAACAGAATACAATCAAGTGTATGATAGGTAGTCCTCAACTTACAATAATTTGTTTAGTGATCTTTTGAAGTTGCAATGGCACTGAAAAAAGTGACTTATGACTATTTTTGACACTTTAGACCGCTGTAGCATCCCCATGGTCATGTGATAAAAATTCAGATGCTTAACAACTGGTTCATATTTATGACAGTTGCAGTGTCCCGGGGTCATGTGATCACCTTTTGCAACCTTCTGACAAGCAAAATCAATTCACTTAACAACTGCAGTATTAACTTAGCAACTGCACAGATTCATTTAACAATTGTGACAAGGAAGGTTGTAAAATGGGGCAAAATTCACTTAACAAATTCTCTCTTAGCATCATAAATTTTGGGATCAATTGTGGTCGTAAATTGAGGACTAACTGTACTAGCAGATATGTCTGCAAGAACATAAAACACCGGTGTCCAACCTTGCAGCATTGAAGACTTGACGACTTCAACTCCCAGAATTCCCCAAGGTTGACATAGAAGAAATCAAGATGGTAGCTGTGACCATGGGATTGAAGCCCCTCCCCCCTTTTATGTGTGTCACACAGAAGCCATGTGAAAGATGACTGGAGTTCAATCCCACAATTACAGCTACCTTCTTGACTTTTTTGACACACATTGCAGGTTCTATGATTGTGGAACGATCTATGAAATATCCTCTCTCCTGAAAATTCCATGCAAACAGAATCCTAATATAGAAAGGAGGAAAAATTCTGCCCAGTAATAATTGCTGTGTTATTTTATGGGGTAATCTGTGCTTTCCGTGTGTATATTCATGTTTTCCCATGTATACATGGGGAAACTCTGAAAGTCATGCCTCTTACCCAGGATTACATGAATGACTCTTGTGAGCTCAGCCACCTGAGCTTTGGTGGGCCCCTCCTGCCATAAAAATAATAATGGAATATTATAATGCATATAATGGAATAATGGAAACTGATTTTCAACATTTTCTTCATGTTTGTTCAGAGAAATGGGAACAGTATGTAATAGAGGCATTATTTTGTAACAGCAATCTGTTGTTGCCAATTATGTCTGCCACCTCTGATTAAAGATACTAAATTTTAGTATTCACACTATGCTTATCGATTATGAATAAGTTGGTTGGTTGGTTGGCGGTTCACATTTTGGGCTCAAAAGGTAAACGTTACTTGCCTGTCTTATTAAAAAGCATAATTATAAGTAGATATTTAAAAAGCATGAAAATCAATAACTTAATTTTCATCTTTAAAAAGAAAAGTAATAAAAGATGGGTGCCTGGTGTTTATTGTGCTTAAAAGAGATGTTGGTCCTGTTCCCATCTGCAATTTGGAAAAGTGCTGTTTAACAGCTCAAGTATAGTGCTGTAGCAGCTAAGTTTTTGACCACCAAGGGGCTATTTTGAATATCAAATTAAATCCAATATTGGCCCAGAACAACAAGATGCACGGGGAAAAAATACTGCAGACTAATTCTATCAGAATAAGAACACAATAATCCATCACTGTCAGAAGAAGCTAACATAATAGTTCTGATCAGTCTTGAGATAAAGTAAATTACTTTGGCTTTTTTTTAAAAAAAAAAAGGCATGCACTCAAAGCTTTTAACAAAAGTGTCGTAATTAGTATTAATTCATTCTCCGACCTATGTAGAATCAGGAAGACTACGCAAGCAGTAAGTCATCCGTAGAAAAGATGTTACTCTACAAATGTTGAGGGAAACAAGAGGAGCACAGAAGCTTGTCACCTATTAAATTCTCCTGTAAACTGTCAATTCCTTTGTATTTGTAAGGCAATATACGGACTGTACAGCCTGTAAAGCTTTCCAGCAGGCATCTGCAGCTGAATCAGGAGGACACATCTTTCTGCAAATGCTTGTTTTAATGTGATACCATGCTGATTTTCCATAGCTGTTCCATTTGCACGAACCTATCCAAGAAAATTGTCTCCATAAGGTTCTCATTGCCTGTTTTTCAGGACAAGGGGTGGGGTCTAGAGTTAAGATTGATGGCTTGGCATCTATTTATCTTGCTTTTCGTGAGTTATTTAATAATGGGTCAAAAGCAATAAGGTGTGTGAACCATCCTTCATTGGAAAAGACAACTGGTTAAGTAAGTCCTTATTTCCATACATTTACATGGATCAAGGATTGCACCATTTATTTAGCTATGCAATTTTATCCTTGCTTCAGTCCAGAGCAGAGGTCTTCAAACTTGGCAGCTTTAAGACTTGTGGACTTCAACTCCCAGAATTCTCCAGCCAGCTATGCTGGGAGTTGAAGTCCACAAGTCTTAAAGCTGCCAAGTTTGAAAACCTCTGGTCCAGAGGGACTCTAGGAGTTTAAAGATAATTTTTTAAATAACCTAATGAAAACAATAACATTAAAGCACAACTATAGTGTCATAACATATTACACTATTACCTTAAGTACTACCTCTAGCCCTCACTGCTCTATAGCAGGGGTGTCAAAATGACGGCCTGTGGGTTGGATGCATCATATGCAGGCCACACACACAGACACACACAGACACACACACACACACACACACACACACACACGGCTCTGCAAAGGCAAAAAACATAGTGATATGTTATATGATGTGATCGAGTTTGACACCCGTGCTCCATAGCTACTCCTGAAAGTCCTTCCAGAAAATCCAAGTTTTTACTAACTTCTGGAAAACCCTAAGAGTAGGGACCAGCCTCACCTCTGGGGGCTGGTTCAGAGCCAGGAAATGGGAATTTCCACCAAAAAAAAAAAAATGCTTGCTGCTTCATTTTTAGGCAGCCCTATAGTTACCTTGAGGTAAGATAGGCAGCCTATAAATGTAATGAATGAATAAACGAATAAATAAATAAATAAATGAATAAATAAATAAATAAATAAATCCATATTTGTGACTTATCTAATCATCTTAAATTCTTAGAAACAGTCTTC